AACGACCGCTCGAGCAATACTTGCACTTTTTAGTGAACTGGAAATTTGCATTTTTTCAAAAAATCTGCATTTGTCATTTTTTCACAAAGTAAGCATTTACCAAAAAACCGACCGGACTTCATGCAAGAAATCGGTAATCATGCACGTGGATGTCCGTGCGGCTTTGTGATGCACCGCTTTCATCCCAACTGACGTCCTTCCTCTTGCATGCCAGAAGGGGCCAAAGCACGGCCAATATGAGCTCAAGTATTAGGCTACAGCGTAAGGATCATTCTTGCTAATAGCGATCTGCGAGTTTAGTGCAAAAACGCATGATCGCACCGGAGAGCCTGGTGCGTTCCGGCCTGGGTTGCATTTGCATATATGCAAAACGACACAAGAAATTAGCTGTTAGCGACCGCTTACTGAAAATGCAAATTGAACAATGAGCAGGATGTAGAGGGGAGCGGATGACAAAATCGCATAAAATTTCCACATGCCTAGACCTGAGAACCTCGCATACTTAGAGGCGGGAATTGAAATCTTTAGATCGCACGTGGACAAAGGAGTTTTAGCTTTCTAGCTTTTCCGATTTTCGATTTAGCAATTTTCCGCCAAAACTTCTGCATGTCTCTACGTGAGACTCAGATATATATATATATATATATACGTATATATATACATATATATATATATGTATATATACAGGTGTTTGGCCTCCTTATCCGTCCTACTGTGCTACCCGCTTTAACATGATTAGTCAAAATTTAATCTGTGTATCTATGGGTGCTCCTCGAACCCTTAACTCGAGGCGCTCACGCAGTGTGGGCGAAATTAATTCCCTCTCCAATAACCCTCCCCAACAGGCCCAGAGCCTTAATGAGGGTGGAGAGGTTAATCTAGCCTCCCTTAGGAGGCGCACGGACCTTTGGGCGCCCGAGGAGGTGGAAACCCCTTCGTGACGCGCATGAGGAGCGGTGGTGTTGACCATCGTTCTCTCTTTCTGCCCTTGCCCTCCCTTTTTTTTTATTTTTTATTCGAAATATTTCTAAAATATTCTAAATATTTCTAATTGTTTCTTTTTTAGGCTAAAATAGGCCTAACGGGCCGAAAGGTATGCTGGCCCCACTCACGTGGCTTGCGTCACGATAGGGGGACCACGTGGGTTGCCAGACAGGGGCCCCTAGTGCGTAGTGTCAAGGTCGAGGAGATACGGGACTTCTGTGGCCGCCCAACATAACATATATATATATATGTTATGTTGGGCGGCCATATATATATATGTTATATATGTATGTTATATATATATATATATATATACCATGACGGCCCATAACACATGAATATATATACATATATACCCATACATTATGAGTCGTCATGACATGCATTTTATTAGCTGCTGCAGCGCTACAATGCTGCATCGCAAAAATGCATAAAAATGATGACAAATTTGGGTTTTGCCGATTTTTGCGTTGTCACTTTATCGTCTAATTCAGCTTCTAAATTTGTGAACAGCGAATCTTCTACTGCTCCGCTTGTTGCAATAGGGCTTTCGAGAAGTGTTGAGAAAAGCGAGCGCTTACGCAAACAAGATCACCTGAATTTGATCCATCACAGTAATTTCACACCAAAATATATGAATAATTGCCAGAAGAATCTTGAATAAAATTCGTCGTTCGGATTAAGACAAATAGGCCGGAATTGATCAAAGGTAGCAACAGACGGTTAAGGCAGTGTAGAACGGTATCGAATCAGTAATGAAGCATAAAAATGGAACTAACTTATTTCTAGTTCCTGAAGAGTTTCAAATCTGGCAACAGTCATTTCGCCGCGTATATTTCTTTGCATCATTTTGCGCTTTGTGGGTAAATCCCATTCATCTTTGCCGAGCACGTATGACAGCTTTGTTAATGCCGCTTCTACCGTCATGTCTGAACCTGGGATAACTCCGATGTCATATAATATCTGAAGTGTTCTAACAATCATTGTCACGCAGTTCATCTTCCCTCTCAACGGACATTTGTGTTTTCTACTCAGGCGACACGGTCAAGATGAGAGAAAAAAGCAAAATCTTTCAAATATTTGCTGGATTGGAACATGAATCCAGAGGCTTAAACTGTCATGGATATTTTGTGCGAAGAGTACCTTATGTTTTTATCAACGGGACAAGAAAAGAAAGGGAACTTTTGTTTCCCTTCTCCTTTGAAAGGGTGTCAACACTGTTTTTTTCAAAAAACCCAGGTTGCAAGGCGCACCAGGATGGGTGCTACGATCATACGTTTTGCGGCCAGTTATTCGAACTGCCATTTTGATCAATCAAATTTGAGCTTCCAGTCTTTTCTAGCTCCCAAGTTAGCATTTTTTTTCATCAAAAATTTCACGTGGTCGTAGAACCAGATGTACTAAGGAGCCGAGTTTAAAATTTGTGAATCGTACGTGAGCAGAAAAAATCGCCTTAGAATTCCAGCTTCCTAGCTTTTCTGTTTTCGGAGTCAGCACTTTTCCCGCCAAAAATTTCGCATGACCACCGACGAGGCCCAGACTCATTTGGGAGCTAGATCTGAAATCTTCAGATCGCTCGTGTGCATGGAATATTCCCAGCTTTCTAGCATTTCTGATCCCCGAGTTAGCAAATTTCTCGTCAAAAATTTCACGTGCCTGTGCCTGAGTTCCAGACGCACCCGAAGTTGAATTTGAAATTTCTAGATCGCACTTCGACACAGAACATCCTCCTAAAATTTCAGCTTCCTAGCTTCCCGCCAAAATTTTCAGTTTTCGCACATGAAATGCAGGAGTGCATGAAAATTGGTGTCACATCGGTGGGGTCGCACTTGACCAGGGGACAAATTGGCAAAATTTCAACACTCAAGCTTGCTTGGTTGCTAAGTTGAAATACTGGACAGACGAACACACACACACACACACACACACACACACACACACAC